GCGTGCCGAACATAGCCCTTCTTTCTAGTTTAGTTTCGTTTTGAGATCATAGAGCAATATTTACCCTGTAAGAAAATTGTTAAAAGGAGCATGAGAGTGACAAAAGCTGAGCTTTGTAATCTTGTTTGACATGAGCTCTACCCAAAGAACTCAGAGACTGTAAGAGCGCGAGTTAAAAAATATGACACAAAGCTTATTTGGAATTAAATCAAATGAAAACTAGAACTTTTTAAAATATGTATGAAAAATCAAAAGAATAAGTACACAGAACAGCGTATCTGGCAGTCGAGCAATCACTAGTATCTCGCTTTTCGTTGTTTTCCGCTATCAAAGTCGGCGGCTGCCTCGGCTATGCTTATCTTATCGTTATGGGGGGAAACGCTCGACATTTGCTAATTATAGATATGCCCGCCAACTCTGGAGCAGTCATGTGTGCACTTGGCGTTAAGCCCGGAATTTTATTTGGTTGCCACCAAAATTCAAAATGACAAAATGCACTAAAAGGCGCATACATACAATATGAAAGCCTCTCGAGCTAAAGCATTATTTTTATAGGCTTAAGCTCAAATTGTTAATGTTTTTGTTGTTGTTGGGCAACAATGACAAAGCGTTTGCTTTGATTGCGCGCTGATAAGTGCGTGTTGGCTCTTTATCGAAAAAATATATAGAGAGAGAGCCCAATCATTTGTTTCTCATCCCAGTTTGGGTTCTATCTAATGGGGGCAAGGTTGACACATAAGGCCCAAATAAAAATGCACAAAATACTTTTGTGTTTACACAATTTCTGTAGTTTTTCGGCTGCTCTTTTTATTAGTTTTGTTTTTTTTTGTTGCCTGCGGTTTCAGTTGCAAAGACGCAACAGAACACCAGAAACGGGAACTCGGGAAAATCGAAACTCCAGACTCTCCAGGCGCCAATTGTAAATGGACTGTGCGATAATCGGCGGCGCCTTAAATAAGCGATAAATTCAACTGAATATACATATACTGGCATATATTGCATATATATATGCATATATTGAATATCAGTCTACAAATGAATACACCCAACAGCCATCCACATTATTCAATAATCCATGCTATATATAAGTCCTCTTGTTTTCAATTATTTCATCATTATATTTGTATATAACCCATTTCCAGAGCCTTCGGCTGATGTGTTATCTGAGTGACCCATTAATCTAGTTAACTGAACATTGAGGTTGCCGGTTCAAATCTTTGGCTGCTGTATGGATAATCGTAGATCTACTTAGTATTCATTTAGCTTAATTCAAGCTGGATTTTTGCACCTAGAAAACAATTTATTCTTCCTTTTAGCAGTTAACTGAACATAAAGGTTGCCGGTTCAAATCCTTGGCTGGCGTATGAATAATCTTAGATCTACTTAGTATTCCTTTAGCTTAATTCAAGCTGGATTTGTAAACCTAGAAAACAATTTATTCATCCTTTTAGCAGTTAACTGAACATAAAGGTTGCCGGTTCAAATCCTTGGCTGCTGTATGGATAATCTTAGATCTACTCAGTATTCCCTTAGCTTAATTCAAGCTGGATTTTTGCACCTAGAAAAGAACTTATTCTTCCTTTTACCAGTTAACTGAACATTGAGGTTGCCGGCTCAAATCCTTGGCTGGCGTATGGTTCTATCTAGCGTTCCTTCAATTTAATTAAAGCTGCATTTTTAAATTTAGCAAAGTATTTATTCATCATTTTACTCTTCCATACTCCTCTCCCTTTCCGTACAACCTTCCGGAACTATTTCGTCAACATTTTTGTACTATAAGTAATTATTGGACGAGCCAATCGGAAATAATTTACACAATCAAAACATATGATAGCAACTTCTTGAAAATTTGATAAGGTATTTTTACTACGAACTGAAATACATACAAAACAAGAAACTGAAAACGTTCTACGATATTCAAGACGCAGCTCTGCTGTCGCGCTATATAAAACCTTTATTTATATTGAAGACCTTTTGGGTAAAATAAAGTAAAACCCCTTTTTTACCGAACGCATCGTGACAGGCACATAAAAAGCCCTTACAGCAGAAAAAAAGGGGCCATAAATTAGTCAATTAGCGACTTCTGATCTATTTGAACAGTTCTCGCGGTGACGTCAGAGCTTGTGAGTTGGTAACCAGTGAAATTTGCACTGCCCGTGGCATGCGATAATTCAGCGGAAGTAAAAGTATTTTTCAACATTTTCTTGTTCTTCACAAACTATGGCCAAGATAAGAGATAAGAGTGTTCAGCTTCGGCGTCATCGATCGATACCGTTCTCTTGTGCTTCCTCTTGCTCGCCTTTTTGGCCTGGGAGTTATACACACACACAGACGAATATTTTGCGGTTTGAGGTGCTGAGTTATTGGCCATAAAAAAGTTTTCGTTGAAACTTGAACGCGCACTCGCACATTTCTGTGAATTATGCGCCACAAATTAGCACCTGTCGAGTATCGAGTCTGTGTTTCACACGCACACATATATACACTATATATACATATATATATACTCGCAGCGACAACTGTTGCGTAATTTCCGCCCACACCTCGCAGCGACCACGTCACATGTAAAATATATTATCTCGCTTCGAATTCTCAATTGGTTTTAACAGCAACTGTTACTTGACATACACACACTTGTTGTTTTTTTTGGTTAAATGATTCAGGGCATATTCTTGAGTATTGGTTAAACTTGTTGAACTTAATTTACAGCTAACATAAAAAGTGTAAACAAACAATTTACAAAGTAGCGCCCGATTGTGTAAAGCATATAATTGGTAGTCAGAAGTGCAAGAATGTTTGCGCCACACACAACAAATAGATACACAGATACACAGATACAAATAGATAAATGGCTGTAACTAAGCACCTACAAGTTTTGTGGTTTTTGTTTTTAGTTTTTTTTTTCGAGCTGTGCATGAATGAGTGTATCTGAGTGCAGACAAAGGGCACTCGTCAACGAGCAAGTAGCTGTTAAAGATTTCACATGAACGTGAAATGCGCGCGTCAATGCATTTTCACAATATTATTATTCCCTGAATGGGTAAAAAGGGTATAAGGTATAAGGTATAAGGTATAAGGTATAAGGTATAAGGTATAAGGTATAAGGTATAAGGTATAAGGTATAAGGTATAAGGTATAAGGTATAAGGTATAAGGTATAAGGTATAAGGTATAAGGTATAAGGTATAAGGTATAAGGTATAAGGTATAAGGTATAAGGTATAAGGTATAAGGTATAAGGTATAAGGTATAAGGTATAAGGTATAAGGTATAAGGTATAAGGTATAAGGTATAAGGTATAAGGTATAAGGTATAAGGTATAAGGTATAAGGTATAAGGTATAAGGTATAAGGTATAAGGTATAAGGTATAAGGTATAAGGTATAAGGTATAAGGTATAAGGTATAAGGTATAAGGTATAAGGTATAAGGTCTGTATGGACTTGATTAGGAAGAAGAGCTGAGTCATACTAGCTAGGTCCGTCTACGAGAGAGAGAGAGAGAGAGAACAAGTTTATCATTTATAATCCCATATTCGAAAAAAATTAGAATTTAAAACAAGCCCAACTTGGCATGTAGATTCTCGCATAGTATATACAGATATAGACACAAAATATTTCACTTTTACACTTGCTTTAGGGTATCTGCTAGTCGGGCAACTAGGACAATCTAGTCACATCTGTCTATGAGAGAGAGAGTACGAGTTAATCAATTATTATCCCCAAGAACACAATTTTTAGGACTTGCTTGGCAAGATACAGACACAAAATATTTCTGTTTAGGGTATCTGCTAGTCGCGCACTCCCCACAGGGGGACACTCTTACTTGTAATGGCTGCGAGTTTAACTGGCAAGAAAGGTTTAATTTTGATTGTTGCCACGGCGCTTAAGTAATTTTAAGTGGCCGCCGCAATGAACCAAGGGGTTAAAGTAACCACTTTTATTTTTTTATTATTAAGGTTTTGGCTGGTCTCTGGTCTCGTCTGGTCTGTCTGTTTCGTGGCTTTTGGCAATTATATAACAATATAACTGTTGCTGACAGCCGCTTGAGAAACAGGGTCAAGTTTGGCCGCAACAGATCAGCGCCAAACCGCAAAAACGCAGCTCAAATGAAATTATATACACAGGTAATAAAAGATACAACTGCAACGGAAAATTGCATAAACGATTGCGCATAATTTTTTGTTTTTTTGTCCACTCTTAATGTATTGTAAGTCTCACAAAGCACTCGATCTGTTTGCCTTATCAGCGGACTCAAAGGCTGCGACGACGGCATCAGACCTTGATCTTAGATAAGACAGTTTGTGTCAATTTTTAATGCTATTTTTCTTTTTTTTTTTACTCACAGCACACACAAAGGTTAAACAATTTGTATGAATTTTGATAATTTGCACTATTTAGAGCTATGTATCTGTCAGATACATTTGTATCTTGCAGCGCTGCTGTGCGCCTGCTGATTTATGCACACAGCTTCTCGCTTGTTTATATAAATATATATTTTCTAGAGTAAAAATAGTTTTTCTTTTATATATATATATATATGTATATGTATATAGTTTATATTGCACCGGCAAAATTTCAATTATCTTTTATTTCTTTGTTTGGTTTTTGGTTTTTTGGGTTTTTATTTTTCACAGAAAGTCCTTCAACGCGTTTGTTGGCGCTCCTCAAGTTTGAAGATCTTTCGTGCTGGCTGCCTGCGCAACGACTGCGTCTGTCTGCGGCGTTCGCTATCAATTTTCGGTGTCGGCGCAAAAAAAGATACAACAAAAAGAATTTCGAAAACGAGTCTGAAAGAGGCCGAGAAATGTCAACGAGAGCTGAACGCAGAACGAAAGAAAGAACAAACAAACTGACTGCAGGCAGCACAACACAATAAATTGGCTCAATGTCTTTGATTTTGATATATAGAGCATCTGCAAGATACTTTCGCATCTGTCAGATACTTTCGCACATTTCTCATTTTCATAGCATAGCCTTAGCTTTTCGGTTTGCATTTAATTACCTAGCGAACACACAGAGCGGGATTGAGGATCAACACTTGGATGCGGCCGAGTGGGTGGTTGGGTGGTTGGGCGGTTGGGCGGTTGTTCAGCTGCCTCTCTGTTGGGCTGTGGTGAGACACGCACGCACACTCCACGGCTGGCGGAGCGGCACGACGATCGGAATACGAATAATCTATATAGAGATTAAATAACGCCGCGTTCGACTGTCACAGCTGCGTATCGCGGCGAAACTAACTGGCCGTGGCGTAGCGCTGGCACACGCGACCGTTCGATTGAAAAGCTTAACGCCGAATAAAAACGCACCGCTAAAAAACCTAAGCACAAAAGCGGCAAATGAGCAAACCGAAACTGAAACTTCACCACCGGTACGCACACATATAAATACACTACGCCGGCTGAGCGGTAGAGCAGTAGCAGCAGAGAGCGAGAGAGAAAGAGCGAGAGAGTGAGAGAGAGTGCAGACAGAAAGCTACTGGAGCTGGAGTGAGCTTCGATGAGCGAAAAAATTGTTGATCTCGCCTGCTGAGCGAAAAAATTGGCAATCGCCGTGTACCTATGCGTGTGCCTCAATTCGCCGCAACGGAACACGTGAAAAGCACACACACACACAGCTATAGGCTGGAGCTGGAGTGAGCTTCGATGAGCGAAAAATTGGCAGTCGCCGTGTACCTCAATTCGCCGCAACGGAACACGTGGAAAGCACACACACAGGCACACAGTTATAGACTTGCGAAGTTATGAAATTTCATTAGTAGCTCATAAGCAAATAACTCATTCACAATAGTTGTGCTGTTATTAGCCAAATTTGCAAGAGTGCAAGCGAGAAAAAGCTCATGCGGACTTATCAGTAAAGAGAGAGAGAGAGAGAGAGAGAGTGGGAAGAAAGAGGTGAGTTGCTGTCATTAGTTGAGCTTTTGTCAATAATCTTATCAATTAGTTTTTTTTTTTTCGGCTTGCAAAACTCTGCTCACTCACACCTTATATAAATACCTGTGTGTGTATTTCGGTTACACCCTATATCATATCTTATCACGGTCATATCTCGCTTTGCTGATAATACACACGAATGAATACGCATTTCTGTTGCAGTTTTGAGTCAAATTTTGGTACCACAATTTGTTTGGATTGCGTGTTCCTATATTGTCCGGCTAAGACTAGCTTAAAAGCGGCAGACAATAGAACGCTTCCAAAATAAAAACAAAACACGCAAAATTCTCTGCGTGGTTGGCTTTGTTAACGTTTTGGTGGGTTTCTGGGTCAAAGTTGGGGGTCATTTTGAGTTCATACATTGTTTTAAGCACGCATAGATACTACTTTCCCATATTGAAGGGTAACTCACAGAATTTGTATTGTTTTATTATTTTTGTCTCGAACTGCGGTTGAGTGGCAAAACTTGTGTTAATACCAATGTTAAATATTTGATTTTGAATTTATCTTATCGCCATATCTTGCACACACATTTCGAGAGCTCCAACATATATACTCGAAATATACTCGAAATATACTCGATGATATCACCCCAGTTACCAAAACTCTCAGTCATAATTTCTAAGTTAGTTCTTTGCACTTACCTGCATTTAGACTGGGCTCGGTTTTTTTTTTTTTTTTGCTGTTAATTAAATGGTTTTTCATTTTTAAATTTAATTGAAAATTTGAGTTAAATTTCAGCTCGTTCGTTCGCTTTATGTTCGTCTGGCACTTGTGTCTTATCTCATCCACAAAAAATTCGTCTTTTCTTTAATCAGACTTAGTATACACTGAAATAGCAGAAGGCATCGCGTTTATTTGCCTTTAACCTTGCATGATTAGAAAAAAATGCCAACAGCAAACGAAAAATAAGATGTAGACAGAGGTATTGACAAGTAGTCTACTTTTGAATACCCTGTAAAACGCGAAAATATAGAGAGAATTGTGGAGTTTATATTGACTGACTAAATAACAGCACAAAATTGAATTCTCGATCTATGAAAACTTAATCGAATAATAATTTTAATTGCTTATACCCTGTAAACGTAATAAAACTTGAATAAATAGTAAAAACTTGGAAAATATTCTTATAAAACTACAAAGCAAAAAATAAATTGTATTAATTATTACATCCAGATTATTAAGCTTGAGATTTGAACCAGCTTCCTTTCTTCTTTCCTTCTGCGTCAATTGAACAACTTATTAGCTAAGGACTGTCCGCAATACTTGTCTTATACTTCATATATATCTCTCTATCTCTTCGATGTATATTCATTCAATTGAAATCAGATCCGCTTGAGATTTGAACCAGCTTTCTTGCTGTAAACGTATATACCCCACTTTATTATATATTTTGTTGGCATTTCGCATAAACGTTTAAGTTCTATTCGTGCGCATATCTTAGTGCTTTGTTTATCTTATTGTTGATACTTGCGAAAAGGCACAACTGGCTGAAGCCAAAGCTGCTCACCTGCCCTCACCTGTCCTCACCTGCTGCCCTCGGGGCGTACGTCAATTGTATCGGAAGTGTCCAATGGCTGGGCAACTGGCAACGGGACTGATAAAAACTGAGAAATAGAGACCTGAATGAATTCGAGTTGAGAAAATCCAAAAAATTTTAATTGCAAATTTGCCCAACCTTGAACAACTGACGTCAGAGCCGCGAACAGATCACAGCAGAAAGTTTGCCGATTTCATATAACTCACAAATGTGTGTGTATATGTTTGCGTAGGTGAGTGTGTGTGTGTGTGTGTGTGTGAGTGTGTGTGTGTAGGTTGTCGTCATCAAAAATGATGGTGTATACGTGTATTTGAAATAAAAAAAAACTGATCAAGTTGATACGATTAATATTTGCGAAGAGTCTTTGGCTAATAAGTTGTTCAAGTGGCAAAGGGGCAAGGAAGAAAGGAAGCTGGTTCGAATCTCAGGCTGTTGGGCAATTCAATTGAATGATAAAATCGGAGAGATACAGAGATATATACAAAGTAAAAGACAACTATTGGGGACAGTCTTTCGCTGAGAAGTTGTTCAACTGAAGCAGTAGGAAAGAAGAAAGGAAGCTGGTTCGAATCTCAAGCGGATCTGGTTTCAATTGAATATACATTGACAACATCGAAGAGATACAGAGATATATACGAAGTATAAGACAAGTATTGCGGACAGTCCTCGGATAATAAGTTGTTCTATGAGGCAGAAGGAAAGAAGAAAGGAAGCTGGTTCAAATCTCAGGCTGTTGAACAAGTGGATCTGGTTACAATTGAATGAATGTTGTATTCTCCAGATAGATTTGAACTTTTTTCTACACATTTTGTGCTCAGTTAACATTAAAGAACTTTGATAACATCTGAAAAATAGAGAGATATATGCGAAGTATAAGAGTAAAGAACTGTCGAATATAATTATTATTTGTCATTGGCATCGTATCGAATGATTGTTTGTGTTTTTTTTTTGTATATAAGTTGAACGACAGCCATATCGGGGCGGTACTTGCGTAACGCCGAGTGCAAATTGTTTGTACTCAGTCAATAAATAGTGAGATATAACTAAGAAATGGGATACAATTAATAAAAACACAAACAAAAACACAAGCTGAAAATTATTTACTGTTTGCTATTCACAACTAATTAAGTAAATAGCTCATTATTTGAACGTATCGAATTGACTTGCATTCGAAAATAGTAGATGCGAGAATTGCAAAAAACTTTGCAGATAAGATAGTTGAAATTCAATTTATATTTATAACCAATTTTTTCCCAGTTTTAATATAATATAATACATATATCAAGGTCGGAAAAGTTCCTTAATTTCGATGTGTATATATTGATTTAGCTGGGGTAGAAGTTTCGATTAGATAGTCATGATATTTATTAATGCCATTGGCCTAACTCAAATGACAAATATATATGTTGTCGCTTCAAATGTTAACACAAACTTTCTTCAATTATCGTTAATAATATGTATGTAATCACAGAGAATCTTATGCAAGGCAACTTGTTTATTTGCTTTGTCACAATTCACAAAGGAACTAGTGCACATTTCAAAGTATCCGTATCCGTACCCGTATCCGTATCCGTATCATTCTCCATTCGCCGTACAACAAGTGCGCAGACAGTTGAATGTTTTTTCATTAGAAAACATAGTTTGCTATAAATGTATTTACAGGTCTATTCTTTCAGGTTTTGCTTTCAACTAAAATTGATTGCGGTCTCTACTTGGGAAATGAGGCGAGAGTTTTTGAGTCGGGCTATACCCTGTGCTCAAAATATAAGCACGCTAAAAGCAACTTAATTTAGACAATTGTGCCTCTTCTTCCCCTCTTTCAATAATCAAGTTATTGCCAAACTTGAAGTTTCTGTACTCGTCTTTATCGATATTTATCGTCATCGGTAATGCATCGATGTAAATGTAAATGTCACATCTCTAATAGTCTAATTGCACTATACTCAAAATATGTTACATTTACGAACTTCACACTCTGCGATTCCATTAGCAAGTGACTGCTTTCGGTAACATGTGAATGGCAAAAGTGCCGCTTCTTTAAATAGACAGCTTATCGATTTGATTTGATTAAACTAACCTAACTCCATTTACTGACTCCATATGGCCATCTTTAAATGTTAAATGATAGGGAATGATTGGGAATGACACTATTACATTTTTCATAACATCAAAACGAAATTCGATAAATCATCGCAAAAACGTAGAAATACTCGGGGCCAACATTCTTGGCAAATGTGAAAAATGTGGTTTCTTATGGGAAAATGTACAAGCAACATATTTCACATTTTCAAAAAATTTAAGAAATGTTGATATGTTAACAGTGGAATTAGGCTATAATTCTTATAGTCTCCGAGTTCGTTGTGTTTACAGGGTATAAAAAATGTGGTTTCTTATGGGAAAAGGTGCAGGCAACATATTTCACATTCGCCAAAAATGTAAGATATGTTAACAGTGGAATCAGACTATAATTCTTATAGTCTCCGAGTTCGTTGTATTTACAGGGTATAAAAAATGTGGATTCTTATGGGAAAAGGTGCAGGCAACACATTTCACATTCGCCAAAAATGTAAGAAATGTTGACAGTAGAATTATACTACAGTTCTTATAGTCCCAGAGTAGGTTGTGTTTACAGGGTATAAAAAACGACCCAGTACACAGCTTACTCAAGCTATCTAAGCACATGACTAACATTCATCAGCGAGTTGCATTTGCTACTTATTCTATTGACACTTTTGACAATGCGAATTATATTTCATATTTCAGTCAATATTGATATAGTTACCGATATCATATCGGACTGTCTGCATTATCAATTTAAATCATATGCCAAAGCAAAAATGGAAGAG